TGTGATGAGGGAGACGAGACGGGGGGGGTGAGGTCTTTCCGACATTTAAATATCTAGCGTTCCCTAGTTCCTGGCCGTTGATCTAAGTATCCTAGACGGCTGGGATTGCTTGACGCCAAAACGGCGTCGTTTTGATTCCATTGGGGCAGGCCGGGTTAGAGACTAGATTGGGCCTGGGCATGGGGTGATTTTTGGTCCTCTTTTTGGAGTCCTTCTGTGCATGGCCCAAAATCAAAAACCTTTTAATTCTTTTTATCTTTGTTTTCTTTTCTTTATTTTGTTTTCATTTTGATTTTTTATATTTTTTTTTCAGATTTTATTAAATGCAAGATTAAAATAAAAGACCCAATTGACTCTACAATTATACTAATTAATTTCCAAAGAAAACTTAAGACAAATTTTAAAATTAAAAGTAGAAATGCAAGGACCATTTTGGTATTTTCTTTATTTTTATAATATTAAAATGCACACTATTTTTGTATATTTTTTGGAATTATATCAATCAAAAATACACACAGAAATGCAAACAAGACACAAATCATGCAATTAATTCCTAAAAATTCAAATAATAAAGGAAAATCCTAATTCTAAGGAATTTTATAGGAGAAATTTAAGCGTGGCAAAAATCACGTGCTCACAGTGTTCTATCTGCATGCTGGAGGGATTCGTATGTTTTCCGGGCTGGTGACCCAGTCCCAGTCTATACAAGTTTTTTCCTTTATGGCATTAAGTACCAACTTGTTGGAGAGATTCGTATATTTTCCGGGCTAGTGACCCAGTCCCAGTCTGTATAGATTTTTCCCTTTATGGCGTTAAGCACCAACTCGGGGGGGGGGGGGTTACTCGACCGTTGCATGCAGGATGGTATGGTACGGAACGCTTTCCTGGTGCGTTATTTTGATGGCGTTTTTTCCTTGTTCGCGCATCTGGGAGAATATTCCTGTTCCTATCCCCATCCAAAAGAAAAATAACAAGTTAAACGCAAACGAAATCATCTGTTACCTTGACCTGATTGGTTGGCGAGGGGAGAGGGGCGTTGTAGAACGACTCGTTTTGCCCCGTACTCGAATGCTGGCTTCAGATTTGATCTCAGCCTCGTGCTTAGCTTCGTCGTTAGTCGAGTCTGGGTATCTTATGGGCTGACAACTTACTTTGCCCGTTGGGATCTCGAGTTCGAGTCCCGGTCCGATCCAGTCCCAGGTGCACAAAAATAAGGGAAACATAAGTTATACTCCGTACATACGGGCAAGACAGACTTGTTATTTCAAAGAATTACAGAATAGGTTATCGTTCCTTCCTAAGAGAGAGGGGGCAGTGTGCATAAAGTACAGATTGGTATCTAGCATAAATATAGCCAATAGGATTGTGGACGTGCTCAGTGCGTAGTGTCTGTAATCCTATTTTGACAACTCATACTCACGACGTACCAAACCCATCACTACAACAAGACGTGGCTTTTGTATAGATATCAAACATAATTTCTATTTTATGCAAAGATCTAACCTTGGTTGGTTCGGTTATTTCAAAAGCTTGCCTACAAAATTCTCAAGTTGGTGTTTGTAATGAAAGGGCGAGGCTACGACAGCCGGGAAGTGGAACCCTGACTGACTTTAGATCTAGAGAAAACTAAAATTTTGGCTAGAAAACTCCCCAGATACGGCGCCAAATTGTTTGACTAAAAAGCATTAGGCCTTTTTGTTAAACTAATTAAATAAAAAGATTTGGGGCAGATCCTAGCCAAAGATAATTTATTCTAGATCTGAGATAGATGATAGGAATGAACAAGCATAACTGAACATAAATTTGATTACAACAGCGATTGAATCTCACAATGTAAGAACTAGATAATTGCTCCAATAATATCAAATGATAATGAAGAATACATAAAAGAAAAGAATCACCATGCTTAAACAAGACCGTCATCCGTACATTTGATAAAATTGAATTACATATGCATACCGAGATTCTAAGCTCTTATCTCCTTTCTCGGTAAGGAGCCTGAGGTTAGGGAGCATCCTAATCTTTTTAGGAATGTATATGTTGTTGTATGTGTTTGGGGGGGGGGGGGTATGTTGTTGTATGTGTGCCCCCCCCCTATGTCACATTTTCTCGTGATATTTATACCAAACACTTTCCTTACCCAGCGGTCCTTAACCGGAAAACCTAAATTCTTGAAATATCTTGTAGAATATTCCTCTAAAATATCTAAGTGTTGGACTGGCCGTTCGGACCGAATTGAGTGCTCGACCCTGACCGTAGCTAAATCACTTGCCGGCATATCGCTTCCTATACACGACTTCGGCTTGATTGCTTCTTGATCGCTCTTCCTTAAGTAGAATTCCTTTGATCAGATTTTGACCCATACAATATATATACTTGCGTTTCCGTGGTTAGTCACAAATTTTCATCGACAAACACGTTTTAGAAAAATCCGGAAAAAAAGTTCAGAAAAATCATGGACAAACAGGTAAAAGAGATAGGATTTTGCTCAGTCAGTTTCCGGTTCAATCTTTATTTAAATAGACAACAAGCAGAGCTAATTTGCCGATTTAATTCTCATTCATTTCATAAGCAAATTCAACTATTCTGAAATGAGCAATAGCCTACCACAAAATAAAGCAGAGCAAAAGTCAAGCTCATGTCAAGATTAATTAAGATGAAAGTTATTTCCCATGCAATCATCACGACAGCTTATTCTTGTCTAAATAATCTTTCCTTTTCTTGGCATAATTCTTGGAATGAAAATCAAGGAAGAGTGCCAAAAGGGAAGCATTGAAAACTGCATTGAAGCACCATCCTCGGATCCCGGAGCAACCCGACCCGGTAAAGTGATAGTACAACATCAAACCCGAAATCAAGAAGCTGAACACAAACTGGATAATTTGAAAGTCAGTGACCAATCTCTTCCACCATGGCCGTACTCCTAAGGTACACAGAAAATAATAAGCGTACATTAGCACATGAACAGAAGCATTAGTAACAAGCGCCACAGGAAACAGAGTCTGAGAAGAAGAAAGCCACAAATAACACATGACAACCACCACCGCATGATGGTACACGTGGAGGAACGACAGCCGTCTAATTCGAGACCCACTTAGAATGATCAAAAGGGTGTCCAAAAACTCAAGAATCTTGGAGAAGTAAAAAATGTAAGCCCAGAAAAAGACAGGTCCACGTGGAGGAGTGTGATTGGCTGGGAAGCATATGACCCAAGTCCAGTCAATTTTCGGCATTTGGTGGAAGGCTGAGAGGGAGCAGCCGACGGCCATGATAAGGGAGAGAAGGCAGAGGATAAGGTTGTGGACGGCGGAGATGAGGCGGAGGGCGGCGGGGGAGAGTGGAGGGAGAAGAGGGAAATTGTGGAAAGAGAAAGTAAGAGTGAGGTAAGTGAGGACTGTGAGTGTGAGGAAAAGTGGTGATGCACCGAATGTGGAACCTTCTTTCCATTGGAAGTTGGTGATAATTGGATGAGTAACTAGCCAATAGTGAATAGTGGAGTAGAGAGCTTCCATTTCGCCGCCGAACGCCGGCGATAATGGAGGTGACGGAGCTCTGAGGTTATCTTATCTATTTCGAAGCTGAGATGATAACGAGATAATACTACAGAGGTGATTCCCATATCCGGCAAGTCAACTTGGAATATGACTTGTTGTCTTTTCGATAGGGATTGTGAGGCATCTTAAGCGACACGTCATCCCTTCAAACAAACGGACATGGGCACATCGCTTCATTTTCTTTTTCCTTTTTCGCCAATTATGGTACCCAAAATTTTAAAAAAATTGAACCACACCCAACAACTCACTTTTTTACTAGGGAAAAACTTATTACTACCTCCGTCCCATTTATGCGGCAGTTTTTCGGTGAAGATCAAGTTTTCTAAAGAATATTTTTAACAGTTATGATCTCATATAAATTATATAGAGTGATAAATTATTTTTTAAGGATAAAATAAATTTAAAGTAAAATAATATTTAAATATAAAGAAATACTTAAATATAGAAAAAGATATTAATAATTTTTTTTTTTGAACAAACTAAAAAGGAAAAAATTTCACATAAAATGAGATAGATGAAGTACATGTTTACATCAAAGCAATGAACAACATATAAATAATTACTTCGTTAGTGTATTTCTTCAATATATTAGTTTTTTTTTTTCAAACTTCAATATATTAGTTTAGTTCGTTTCACTTTTACTCATCCCTGTTTTTCTATTTTCTCATCTGCTTTAGGCAAAAGGGATCGTGTTGGGAAGAATGGTAAACTTTTTGCAAGCCAATTATGCATTGTACTCGGCCTTCATAATTACCACGCATCTTAATATTTTGGATATATTCAAACTAACTAAAATTTGATGTTTCACCAGCACTGTAGTATTAAATATTACACTTAGGCCCCGTTTGGCCATGAGTTTTGCCAAAATAAATTTGTGATTTATTTTCAAAACTCATGTTTGGTCATAAATTTTGCCCACATTTTGGCCAAATCCCAAACCCCAAAATCAGCTAATCAGCTATTGAGCTGATTTTGGCCAAAATCCCAAACTTGGGAATTATATACTCCATCCGTTCCAATTTATGTAAACCTGTTTGACTGGGCACGGAGTTTAAGAAAAAATGAAGACTTTTAAAATTTGTGGTCCTAAACAAATCAAAAAGGGGGCCCAGGGTATTTGTGTGGTTATAAAAGCTTCTCATTAAGGGTACAATTGTAAGTTTAAGCTAAATTGTTACCAAATTTAAAAAGGGGTCATTCTTTTTAGAACGGACCAAAAAGGAAATAGGTTCACGTAAACTGGAACAGAGGGAGTACATGTTTTTCCAAAATAATGTTGAGAGATATGTTTTGAAAACGTATGTCCAAATACATTTTCAACTTCAAACCAAACTTCACTCAAATCAGATTTTTCAAAATAAATTAGGATCTATGGTCAAACGCTAGCTTAAAAGTGATGGAACAAGTAGGCTCACGTTAATAGAAATATCAAACAGAACAGAATAATTACGACAGAAAAGATTAAAAGCTTTAAAGCTGTCACTCCTTCTGTGGAAGTTTGTACATCTTTGTTGGATTCGAATAGGAAAAAAATAACAAAAAAGAAATGAAAAAGGCCTAAGTTTTCTCGATCTCTGCCTAACAAGTAAACGTACTCATAATAGAGCTCTAGTGCATGACACTACCAGCGAGAAAAAGAAAGTAGATAAGGTGTAGCCATGAAACTATAAGCATCTGAAAAAAATGATTGATCAGCAATATACCTACAACCTAGCCATTGAAAAGATTTGTAAACTTCAATCTTAAATCTTGTTATAAAAATCTAGAAAGTAATGAGGAAACAACTGAGATGCAGCTTTCCCAGCATCCTGGAACAGTTGAATCACTTCCAGCTGTAATGGTCATAACTGAACTTGCATCTCAGCTTCTTTAGAGCAAAAATCCTCATCCAAGACTCAGGTTTGCAAAAAGTGAGCAGCTGATGGCCTACTATATCAACCAACTAGGCTCGACTTGCTACCTTTTTCTTGACTACTCTTTTTCTCCGAGCCTTGGGAGCTGCTGGTGTTTCACCCTCGGTCGTTGAGTTACTCTGACCCTGTTTGATACCAAGAAGCCCAAGCCCGGAAACAATCGCATTCTTGGATATGAACCACTTTGACGATGACTGCTCGAGACCTTCAGTAGGCCGACTGTACGCCTTCAATACATCATCTGAATGAGCCAATGGATCCACCTCCACACCAAGCCAAGCTAGTCTTGATGTCTCTCCTACTTGAACATTCAAGGCTCTGCGTAACAATTAAAAAAAATTATAGTGCTGGAAAAGATCAAATCAAATAAACACCAATACTATTACAAGATCAACGATATGCACAAATATATCCTGAACTCTAATCCAAGATATTGCATATAATTTCATCTAGTCTTGGGATACAGATGGTAATCTTCCTTTTACAGAGACAGAAATTGTTCTTAAAACTGCAGTCATTAAGTACTGCATAAGAACTCAAAAAATACTATAGACCTGACAGAAGTGCAAGTTATAACCGAAAAGGACCACAACCAACTTTTTACTCATAGGGGTAATCATCTTTTGTATCAATATTAGAAAAGGAAGGCAATAGATAAGGGGAAAAAAACTAATTTTCTGAGTAAACTACCAACACATGAAATTGACTTTGATAAAACTGCGGTTTGCAAAATGCAAATGCTATCATCTATTTGTCCAGCTAAATACCTCATGGCAGTGCTGAAGAAGAGAGCCACCCCAATAACATCAAAGTAACTAATTACAGCTCTGTCAAATCCATTCAACAGCTGGTAACGCAGGTTTGCATAAACACCAAGGAAGGCCCCATAACCAAGTGCATTACTGCTCACAGATGGGATACTCACTGATAACCTGGTGAATGGTAGAAAGAAGCCATCAGCAATGACAGACTTTACATTTCCCTTAAATGAAAATTAAGATCCAACTGAAAACTTAAATGGAGAAATTAAATGGCCCATATGCCAAAAATGCTTACCTTCCCTCCTTTTTACTGGCAAGAAGATTTGATAGACCCCCTTGCACGGCTCCTGCACTGAGTCCAACCATACACAACTCTGCAGCCTTATAGAAAAAAGAATGAATTCTCTTCTGCAAGTCAAATTCTCTTAAAGGATAACTCTTTTCAAAGATATTGTTCGGAAGCTTCTGTAATGTGTTCTGCAAATCGAAGCGGAATGTATTCCCATAGGAATGACAAGGAGCAAGCGTCCAAACAACAGCAGCATTGCAAGCCGTTACAGTTAGAACGTTAAGAAGTGCAAGATCCCACTCCTGTTTAATCCTAGATCAGAGTAAAACAAAACATGTGCACTAAGTCAATCCTCTTGCAGTGAGTTTTATTAGCCATTAACATTTCTGAACAAGACAAGGTTGCCCAAGGTGGGGTGGCTTGAAGAAAGCCGTCAATCCCCACCCCCCACCCCCAAATAAAAAAAATTAACCAATAGAACATTAAAAGAAAAGAAAAAAAGAAGGGAAAAAAAAAGTACCTTTCCTTACGGTTTTTGATCTCCCACCACACTGAGCAACCAATTGTAGTTGCCTGCTCCAGAAGCAGCTTGTATACAAATGCCGGATCTGCGATCTTCCTGTCACAGAAAGACGATCCAGAAAAAAAATAAGGAAACTGGAAATGCCGGCTTCAATATGTGGTAAAAGCTTGAGTACTCCAGACATGGTTTAGACAGCAAAATATTAGACAACATTTAAAATCTGAAAAGCTTAGATGACATAGCCTAAGGTGTCAAACTGCTCCATGGATTTACAAAGCATTAAAGTTTGGACTGACATAGCCAGAGCAACTCCCATCCTGCAGAGTTTTATATCTTATAGGTTTTGCTGGTTTGATTTGACCTTCGTCGAAAATTGGTGCTATCAATTTCCTTTCAAGTTTTTGGACGAAAAAACAAGACTGCTGCTCCTTCATCAGCAGATCAAACACAATCCTGCCAGCTCATCACATGTCATAATAGAAATCCCATAACAAAAGCACATTTTGGCTGGCAGAATTATGAAGAAAGAAAGTTCCTTTTGGCACTTTGCCTTCTTTGGTTCACTACTGCAGTAGCAGCTCTTTCATTGAATGCGTGGAAAAGGGTGAGGAACTTGTGATTTAGGTCACAGGTTCGAGTTCTGCGCCATGCGAACTAAACCTGATATTTAAGTGGAGCGGTGTAGCGAGGCGGGCCCATTATGCCCAAGTTTCGTAGGCTGCGGGTGGTCCTAAAGGCCGGCCACAGACGGATTTCTCGGACATAAAAAAAGCTCTGCTTCATTCAAAGATCTTTCACGATCTCGAACAAGCCTGGCAAACCCTGGCAGCTGAGTGCCCAGGAAATGGTATTTGGTTGATATCTTTTTCACCCCTCCATTTGATTCATTTCATTAATTCTTCTAAGTACATTCAGAGAGTCTTTATATCTCGTTCATTTAGCGGCCAGTTAGAGAAAGGAATTGACCTTCATGAAAATGCTTGTGAAGCTAACAACACCACAAGGCTTTGAAAGTAAGAAACGTACTTTTAAAAAGTTATTATTATACATAGGGGGTAGGGATAGGGGAAGGGGAAATAGGGGAGGGGATTACAAAGTGGGGAATCGAACCCTTACCAACAAGGTGGAAGTTCGGATAACTAACCAACTGAGCTACTAAGAATCTAAGATCCCCACTTAAGAAAAGTACTTGAAGATGCAAGATATTTGACATGATCTTCATTTAAACAGACAAAATAACTACTCTGATCAGCAATGATATTTCTGACATGCCATTACATACTATTATCTAGCAGACAGGCTTTTGTCCAAATAATTGCCCTGGGGTGTTTTGAGTACTGTAATAATGATATATTACCTGCCAATGAATGCCCTGGATAATCCTGGAGGGAGTAACCGAGAAATAGATCTCTCCATGGTGGGCCTAGCATTCATAGCAAGAAATTTCACCATTTGGGCAGAGCTGACTAATCCCTGCATGAACAAGCAGAAACTAAAGTTAGATATAGAAATAACGCAACCAAATAAAACTACTCAGTAGAGTAATTTACCATTTCATAGGCTTGCCGGAGTCCAGCTGGTAAATCCATCATTGTCTTCTGCCACTCGTTCAGCACGGCATCAACAAATTTACGATCAAACAACTGGGCAACATGGAAAAATTATGAGTGACATGATACTGTACAATAAACCCTGTAGAATAAACCCAGAATTAAGTAGAAACAGTTCACTTGCAGAGGCCTCTTACCTCCTGCAGTATCATTCGCCTCCTAAAGAGTCCACCGTCATCTCCCTCATCACCATCATCAAAATCATCGAAGTAATCATCATCATCACCACCATCGTCACCTCCATCACCACCACCATGATTTAGATTCTTTCCCATATTTCCACCTCCTCCGCCAGTTGAAAGCTGTGATGTGGCCAAGTTATTAGCAAATTTGCTCAATCAAGTGTTTATTAAATAGTACTAGCACAAGGTTAACAATGAAGCTTAAGATCATGAGAGAGAGACCGCATCGTTCTCAACATAGTTGGATTAGAATGCTATATGTTATATAGCAGCAGAAGCGACACTCCACACCATCTACACCCAACTAAGAAGTACATTCAAGAAGAACGCTATATCTTCTCTCATCTTTTTTTTTTCACTTTTCCATTTCATTGAAAAGAAAAGATGCTTAAAACAGAAAAACAAATAGCAACAAGATGCCTTTGGTAAAGGCATACGACACATCTCGAATCTAGTAAGCAACTTCAGAATTATTTATTCTTGGACGCATTGCCATTTTAGGCAGAGTTAATTTTAACAAACTTTGCATTTTATTTTTGCTATTTGTCAGAGCTGGCCAGACCTTTGTCAATCAATTGCGAATAGCAATTGAAATCGCACACAGAAAAACTCTTCACACCCAGTCTCCAGCATAACACGTGGGGAGAACAGAAACATCTATACAGCTATTCTTTCTATACACATAGCAGTGTCTCTACACCTCCTTCAACCTTTGTTAGCAATATACTAAATTACGACTTAAGTATGAAGATAACAGTGGTAATACAAGAAAATTTCCCCCTCTATTTTTATGGCTGAGTGTCAGCCAGTCAAATCTTGAATATCAACTTAATTTTGGTAAACATGCCTAAATGATAGAAAGAGCCTTCTCTTGTTATGAGAATAATATAAAATGATAAATGACGAACCTAGGACAAAGCTATATCAATCAATTGATCGATCAATCAATCAACACAGCCTCAAAATCCAAGCTAGTTGGAAATGTCCAAAACGCTAGAACTTGCTAAATTCCAGGCATTTAAGTTTTTGACATTAACTTCAGCTTAAAAAGAACCTCACTGACTCTAACGTTAAAAATCTTATTTTAGGCAGAGCTTTTTCAACTATGACTATATTATTTCTACCTCCAATTTTAGGAATGAGCTGGAGCTACAAATTTGGGGGAAAAACCCGGAAATTAAGGGGGAAAACGCAACAAACCTCAGGGCTAGACCTGGTCTGCTTCTGCTGGGTCAAATCAAGCTTCGATTTTTCCAACGTAGTCGCACCAAACGCACCGTATTTTCCTCCCTTCATTACCGGAGCGTACATAGCCGAAGAAGACGACGACGAAGACGCCGGAGAATCGATAGAAGGTGAAGCTTGAAAGCAGCGTTCCAAGGCGGCAATAGGGTCGCCATCGACCGCCGGAGACGCCGTAGCCTTGATGATAACACCGTTGGTTTTACGAACTTTTCCAGCGAAAAGAGAAGGGCGGCAGAGTGAAGGGGGCAATAAGGGTTTTGAAGATAAGTTGGGTTTAGAAGAAGGGATGATTTGGGTATTGATAGGCATGATTTGTGCTGTTTGGAATACTGAATGAGACATTTTCTTCTCTTTTTTTCAAACTTTTTCTTGTTTGGATAGGAAGAAAATTTAAGTAAAGATTTTCTTCATAGAGGAATGGAACTCTCTGAGAGAGCAGAGCAGAGTACAGAGGTTGAGGGAAAGAGAAAGGAAAGGGTGAGGTTTGAAGATGAAGGGGAGAAAATTAGCCGACTACGCGACAAACCCAATCCACTGCGTATGATTAACTCCTCCGCCTTCACCCTTTGCTTTTTCCTCTTAAACCCCAAACTCCAAATGCTAAATCAACTTATTTAAAGTTACTTGCCTTTTTTTTTCTTTCTTTTTTTCTTTTTTTGTGGTTGGTGGGCTAAGGGGAGGTAGGCTAAGGAGAGGGGATGGCCAGGATTTTCTTTATTCAATAAAAGTACTAAAAATAATAAATAAGTCCTAATTTAACACGATTCATATTAAATTGATTCACGTATGATGAGCAGTGGTTCCATCTTCTCTTGAATTTTGATATAGATGCTATTTGTGAAATGTTACAAAATTATTGTCTACCGTAAAAAATTAAAAATTAGAGAAAAGCAAAATTGGCAAGCGGTAAGCTCAAAAAAAAAAAAATTAATTGATATGTGTTATAAAATAATAAAAGAAGAAGAATATTGCACAGAAAAGTAGGGAGAGAATTCTTATTGATTTGGGATGAATTACAATGGAATAGAACCCATCTGTTTATAGGGCAAAAACGACTTAGCCACCAAGTAACAAAACCTAAAATCTCTATAAAATATAGACATTCACCTTAAATACAATTCTATTTATAACACTCCCCCTTAAATGTCTATTCAACAGATAATGTGCCTTGTTAAAACCTTAACTAAAATAAAACCCTGTGGGAAAAAATTCTAGTAAAGGAAAAAGAGTACACATATCTAACAATACGTCTTTTGTTTGCCTCGTTAAAAACCTTGCAAGGAAAACCCAGTGGGACAAAACCTTGTAAGAAAAAAAAGAGTACCACGCATATTAACTCCCCCTGATGAGAACATCAATTCATATATTTGAGTCTTTGCATTCCAATCTTGTGCACCATCTTCAAAGGATCGTTGGTAGAGATTCGATAAACAAATCAGTCATATCAACTTGTATGAATATGTTTCACCTTGATAAATATGTAATGTCTTCATATAATGTCGTGGAATGACTTTTTCAATATCTCCATAGAGGTAAAAAATTTCTCTATCACATTATTATGCTTATAGTTATAGCAATATACATATGTGCATAAATTGCACTTATGATATGGTACTTCAGAACCAAGAATTGTATATGCTTTAAGCGATTTCGAATCCTTCAGGGATTGTCATATAAGTTAAGTCATATAAGCCATATAAATAGAGTTCAGATGCATATCAAGTTTCCATGTCATGCTGGACATATAAGATAGATAAAAGTGATTGCACACTCTGTTGACTTTATACTTTCAAATATTTGAACTACATGTTCAAAACTACATGTCTTTCATATGAAACCAATTCTATTCGAATTGTGTCTTTTTCATTTGACCAATATTTTTGTGGCTGTATTCGACAGACATAAGATCCTCATCTATACTTAGTGCTATCATAGATGTCATCGACAAACATGTTATATCAGTTTCGACCTCCTTTCTTTCATAAAGCCATAACACAAAAATCTCTTCATTCATATTTCAGGTACCTGAACCTCTCCTGAGATTTTATGAAGTATTATGTCATGTGATCTTCTAGATCACTTGCCTCCTTTTTATGATCATTTTGATCATTTGCTCATCTTCTTTATGAAGAATTTTGTTTGAAGCCGATTTGTCTATATGATTTAAGCATACCATAGACTTTGTCCTTATAGGACTTATTCTAATATGAACATTTACAGTAAGAATATAGTTACTTTCTTTGGTCAGCAAATGCGTATGGCATTACTGTTACATCCCATAGTTTTTGTACGTGAAAGTACGCCATAAATAAATTGATGAAAGCTCGGAAAGGAGATGTTACATCCCGCATTTTTTTATGTTAAAGTTTCGTCGTAAGTTAATCGACGTAAGTTTGGGAATGAGATTATTTTGGAATTATAAGTATTATGCTATTTCAAACAAGTGATAAGTAAATTCGGGAAGGTGAGAGGGTAAGCGAATCGAAGGAAATGAGTTTTCGTCGAAGTTTGGCATTTTGAGAAAAAAATACGGTCCAAGCTATAATACCATGTATTTATGGATCAGTGCCATACAAGGTACCACATGACCATGATAGTAAAGTGTATAAAGTGTGTTAAAAGTGAGTAGTACTTTAAATAATTTGGAATAATTTTTAATTATGTGGATAATTAGTTAATTATTGGTTAGTAAGAGATTAATAAATTATCTATTAATTAGAATTGGATAAGTTTGAGGGATCTTACCTTTAACGTGGCAGCCCATGAATTTGTTAATAAAAGCCACTAAGTGACACAAGATATAGAAAGGTGTTACATTATTAGAGCATGACAAGGATTAACATTTCTTTAGCCTTCTACACGTGAATTGCCAAAATACATTCACCTTAATAATGCAAGATATTGTTTTCTTACCCCCCACCCCCCCACCCCCCTTTAAGATTAGAAGATGAAGCATCACGTTGCAAAGAGATTGCATGCGTGATTTGCAATGATCGGATCAACAACGTGAGATTTTGCAAATTTAAGGAAGTACGGTGCAATCTTTCTCAAGAATATCATGCGGATTTTTCCCTACTTCGATCTGCCGTTACATGTTTTGACGCAATTAACGTGTGTTAGAGGAATTGTCAAGAGAATCGATTCAGGTATGTTAAGTCTATCCCTTCTTTCTTTTTGGCATGATCTACACGACACAAACGGAACGAGCAAATGCACAACTTTCAAAAATTACACTATTCGTAGAAATGCTAGAGATGCGTATATTCTTGTTTTCCCATAAGTCTTATTATTCTATCGTCTGTTCACGGGTCACAGAAAATATGTAAGTTGATAAAGTCTATTTCATGATATTAATCAGAGGCATAATGGTCTTATGACACCCCGAAAGATTTTATTGACGTACTTATCATGCGTTGCATTCATTTACACGACCCATGAACAGGTGGCGTTATATACACATATATAGGTATATCTATGTATATGGGATATGGGAAAAGGTTACGGCGTTATATACGCACCACCACCTGATAAGCTGGTATATGTTTGATGATTTTGCTCACAGTGGCCGAGATGATATGATGGGATGCCCTCAGAGGCTTGATGATGTTATGAATACATGTACCTATGCACGACATAACATTCATACGCATATGCATGACACTATAAGCATTTTATGATTTACAGAGTTATCCAGACTTACAGTTTGAGTCATTTACTCCATGTTTCTTCCATGTCTTTTATATACTTATTTATGTGCCTTACATACTCAGTACATTATTCGTACTGACGTCCCATTTGCCTGGGGACGTCGCGTTTCATGCCCGCAGCTCCCGATAGACAGGTCGAGAGTCCTCCAAGTAGGCTATCAGCTCAGCGGAAGGTGTTGGTGCGCTCCATTTGCTCCGGAGTTGCTTATGTGGTCAGTATGATCAGGACATGTATTAATTAGTATGGCGGGGCCCTGTCCCAACCTTTATAATATTTATGTACTCTTAGAGGCTTGTAGACATATGTCGTGTACATGGAAGATTGTACGGTCCTGTCGGCCTATGTTTAGTGTACAAGTGATCATTTTGGCCTTATAGGCCAGTATGTCATATGTATAAGTTTGTATTCCCTCATGCTTTACTTTGGTTCAGTTACCTATGATAGAATGTTACGAAAGATACGTTACTTTGGTACTCAGTTGAGTAAGGTACCGGGTGCCCATCGCGGCCCATCGGTTTGGATCGTGACAGAAGTAGTATCAGAGTAGTTCTGTCCTAGGGAGTCTACAAGTCGTGTCTAGTAGAGTCTTGTTTATGGGTGTGTCGTGCACCACACTTATAAGCAGGAGGCTATAGGGAATTTAGGACTATCACTCTTTCTTCTTTCTCTAGATCGTGTGGTAGAGCTCAGTTGTAAGAATTCAATTTCCTAAACTCTATCTTATTTATAATACGACGATGCCTACATCTAGAAAGACGGTTGGTAAGGGATATAGTTGTGGAAGAGTTGAGTCAAAGGAACTCAATTTTTGCATCATGCTTATGATGGATAAAGATGAGCAGCAAATCATGTGTATACTAAGATGTGTAAGCTTCTTGATAATGATACTTAAGGCAAGAATATCTATCGACCCCTAGGGTGAAAGGCAATGAGTGATTCGGAAGATAGATACAAGTTTCAACAAGTAAGAGAAGCAAGATGAAGAAGGGTACGAGGCGCCTAGTTAGTGAAGATTATCAGTATTTACAATTCAGGCAGAGGAATATAAGCCTTTTTACCTTTCAACAATAACAGAGGTCTGTACAATTGGCCACACCCATCTCTTTTATGCCCTATGGGGGATAACAGAAGTAGTATAAGAGAAGGACGAATATCAGGATCCGGCTAGGGTTAGAGTAACCCAAAATGGTGAATGGATTGTTTGTGTTAGTTGACATTTCCGAAGGATATTACAAAGGTGCTAATAGATCTCCTTGTGAGACACCCAGATGGTGCACTCTAAAATAGTACAGCTAGATATGAGTACTACAAAAATAGGCACCGGAAGCCTTAAAGGGATAAATATTACCTTAGTGTGGTTCCCGTCCCTAGTAGAGAAAGAATGTTAGGAAATTCGAAGAGCCAATGGATGGAGCAAGGGGAGCTAAAAGCAAAAGAATGTCTTGTTCGAGTTTTTAGGAAAAAAAATGATAGACAGAGATGTTAGCGGGAAATAAGAAGAGAGTTAATGAAGCATTATGAGTAAGATGTGATACATGGATGACAACGGTAGATAAAAAAGATGACAGTACTACAGATTCTATAGTCAAGTGAAGGAAAATACGAGAGGTGACAGGCCTTGAGGAACCAAAAGAGTATAGGCCATAAATTCATATCCTCATTTCTAAAATAAGTTCATGACTCTAACGTGATTACCAAAAGGAAAAGTTAGACCCAGAGTAATAGAAATCAGTATGGGCTGGTGAACAAGATAACCTAAACATGAATCAGGGACTGAGTGATTTGATAATAGTCGGGATCATGAGGAATTCAGAGATAGCGCTCCGGCGATAATAGAATGGACGACATAAGAATAACCTTTAAAGGTCATTCAGGAAGATGCTTCCCTA